CTTGCTAAGAAAATTGCATAAACTTCTCCAAGCAGGAGTCAAGACAAATTCAAAAGTATCCCTCTCCAGATCATAGGACATTCCCAACAAAAATTATAATGCTGGTTTATGATTTTGTTCCTTTTCTACAATAAATGATAAAAAAGACCCTACAGATTTAAAATATCGTCATGAAAAATATACCCAATTAATTGGATTATGTTATTCATTTGTACATAAATGAGAATAATTGGTTTAATTAAAACTAATATTTGTTTCTTTTCTTTTGCTTCCACTCACTGATACCATATTTAGTTTTAAAATTAATGGCAAAATACAGCAAGACACTAAGGATGCAATTATTGCTTTTTTATTTCTGAACATTTAACTTCACAATCAAATTTACTTATTATTAAACCAAATTGGCCATATATTACAGATTCTTAAATTGACATGGCCATTTATGATACATCAGTATTTTCTACCAGCTTCACTCATAATGGAATTTTTGGCTAGATCTGCCACATGTACATTACATTCAAGCATCATGGCAAGCCAAAACCCCCTCCTACCAATTAGCATTGCCAGAAAACCACAGATGGCCATATGTACGATTTGCTAGCTTATCATACAAACCAGAGTGCTCCATTTGGAACAAGCCAGAGAAAAAAGCTATGCAAGAGATCAGAACAATGTCTTTCAAACACAACCATGTCTATATCCAAAGTATCTTCACAAACAGAATACCCTTTCTGTGGATACAGCTGATACTGTTGTCTCTATAATCAGAAACTTCTCAACACTGCCAGTTTGCTTTACAAATGAAATGGTTTATTGGATTCTATGCAGAAGGAAGCGCTGTTTGCATAAATCAATGGTATTTATGTAAACAAACAGTTTATTTTGTAAGCAACATATTTATTTCTTTAGAAATATGTAAAGTTAGCATATGGAAATTCATCCACTCTATAAGTAGTACATCTGTGTAATTGGTTATTTTTAAACAACTAATGCCTAACAAAACAATACTGCCTCATATTGATCAGTTGAAGCTATTCCATATATATGAAATGCTTTGTTCCATATAACATTTTTACTTTATCATCCAATTTTTAAAATTCTGATGTATACCATTCAGGATTAATCCAAGAAGCACCATTTTTATATCGATGGGGTGCAGGCCACTAAGTAGTGTTCAACTCATTTTGAATGCAAGTCACCTGAGTGGAACGAACCCCATTTGATTTTGAAACAGTTCTGTCAAGTTTATAACAACTATTCGAATCACTTTGCAAATGATTCATGTTTTGAATGCAATGTGATTTCAAAACTTTTTATATATAGTAAACTATTAGAAGAAAATATCCTTCTAGGTTCAGTTCCAAGTGGGGGGAAAAGACACTGGAAACATGGAAGCTGTTGGGAAAGATGGTTTAATGGTGGACAGGATCACATGCTTTGGAGCTCCTGAATGAAAAAGGGAAGAGATGCTGAGAGTCCCTGGGTTTTATGCCCTCTGTTGGGATTTGAATTCGAGCTTGTATTCTGATTGGTTGTCAGGCTCCCGTGGGGCCATGTAGGGGCAACTGTATAGGTTATCCTGAGTCCCAGGCTTGGTTGAGCCTTGCTGGATGATGATATAATGAAAGGACTTTGGGAATCCTATTATGGATCTGCCTGAAGGAGGTAGATCTTTGTTATGTAGAATAGACTGGCCCAGGCCTTAATGGCCCATTAGCAAAGGTAGGGGGGCTCAGTTTCTGCCTCTCTGAGTTTCTACTTCTCTTTTAGGGGAAATATTCTGGCTTTTTAATATATACTCAAATATTTCATTTCTCTAGGAGAGAGGTGGGTTTTAACTTCCAACAAAACTGTACATTTTCTCATGAGGTAATGAATTTGACATCCCTGTTTACATTTTTAAATTGCACATTAATTTAGCTGTGCACAATGAGGACAAGAAAATAGAATTCCAGAACTGAAAATAGTAATTTTTGTTAGATCAAATTTTTTTGAAATTGTCACTTTCTAAACATGATCTTCATATGTTACTATGAAAAGGGTATGCGCATGGCAAGAATTGAGAAAAATCATAATAAGATTTAAAATTGCAGATGCAATCTATTTTGCTTGCAACAACTGCATGCAATTTATAACTGACATTTCAATAGATTCAGTCCCCAGTGATATATTTATATAGTATTATCGCAAAAAGGTACATTGTGACAAGATTAGTAACGTTCTTAAAGAAATGATTATTTAAGAATCATAGTGTTACCTAAGGCAATTACCATGCACACTTTTAACATCTACTGGGAAAGATCTGAAGGGAAAATAATTGACTTCTCTAATTTTACCCTTGATAATTATAAAATAGCTCTGCATTTCATTGTAAGCCAACATTTTCACATGTAATTGTCAGCCTTGATAGAAACAAGATAAATGCTTTGCAGAAAACCTCTGACAATTACCTATAAGATCATGATACAATTAATTTTGGACTTATAGTGCAAAGTAACACTTGGAATCTTAGATACATATAATATACTATTTGCATCAATCAATAAACAAATCTGTGCTTATTTGCTCTCTGTAAATTGTCATGGCTAGCCTGAATTCACATGATGTCATGACTGTAATGAATTCACAAATAATTTAAATTTATTTGTGAAACCTTGTTAACAGATTGCAAAATATAGGGATCACATATGGTATAGTAAGATTTTAAAGTTCAGAAAACTGCATGAAGAACTTCCATGAATTTATCCTGCAAGTTTTCTCCAAGCACCATAAAAAAGCAGCCTTGTATCTTTAAGATACAAGTATTTTATTAACAAGTATTTTATTTACAGTCAGACATGGATTAACAGCCATTTTAAAGGTAAATTCCAACGTGAGCAATTCATAATAATGAACAAAAAATGATAAGATGTGTTCTTTGCCTCCTAATGCAGATTCTATTTTTCTATATTTGTCTATACAAGTAATCCTCAACTTACCACCACAATTGAGCCCAAAATTTATGTTGCTAAGCCAAGAAATTTGTTAAATGAGTTTTGCCCTATTTTATGATTTTTCTTGCCACATTTCTTAAGTGAATCACTGGAGTTGTTAAATTAGTAACACGGTTGTTAAGCAAATCTGGCTTCCCCATTGACTTTGCTTGTCAGAAGGTTGCAAAAGGGGATCAGGTGATCCCAGGACTCTATAGCAGTGATAAATGTGAGCCAGTTGCCAAGCATACAAATGTGAATCATGTAACCATGAGGATGACGCAACAGTCGTAAGTGTGAAAAATGGTCATAAGTCACTTTTTTCAGTAATGTTATAACTTCAAATGGTCACCAAGTGAACTGTTGTAAATTGAGGATTACTGTAATATGTAATATGCCTATAAAATTTTCTTAACCGGGGACAGCATGGTATCAGTTTTTATCTCTAACAGGTCCCCAAATTAAGACTAATGTTCTGCAATGATTATAAATAATGGAAAGGCAAGCAGAATGCAGAAAAGATGTTAGAGGAGCATTAAAAGGTAACAAGTGTAACTTGCAGATTTATGACTATCTGACATGTTATATAAATAAACAATTTGCATCTAGTTTCACAATTTCTTAACCCTTGGGATAGTATAATTTGAATTCTGTCATATATATACATATACATATATACATATACACATACATATACACAGACGAACCCAATACACAAGCCTGATGATGGCAGATGAGATTCTGCCGAAACGTTGCTACAACTTCAAAAGCACAACTATAATGACGTGGGAAAATACCCGAACAAAGCTGAATACCATACATACATATACGTATACATACATACATACATACATACATACATACATATATTATATTTTATTACTGTATTTATTAATCTATTTTCTGAAGTAGCATGTAGTTTAAAATAGCTTGAGAGTTGGTAGCAACTGAAGTATAATAAACCTAAGTAATTAAGAAAGTAAATAAATAAAATTAAATTAATATAACTAGCTGCATGTATACCTTACATGGCAGAAAAATACCAGAGGAAAAACTTTTGGCCTTTAAAAACATAATTGTACAATACATGCAAACAATAAAAAGGTATCTTTTACAATATCCAATCAATCTATCAAGCATTTTACAGTTTATATTTCATCAAATTTTTAAGACAGGAGAGAATGAGCTGATACAAATACTGAGTGGATTCTACTTAGGTTATATACCGTAGAAGTTTGTTAAGCTTTCATTTGTCTAAAGTAGGAACAAAATGATAATATGTTTTGGCATAACTTTCAGAACAAGAAGCTTAATTAGTTGAGAAGTCACATAATTCTGTAGGTCACTGTGTTTTAAATCTGAACTGTGACAAGCTAAAAATAATTACATCTATTTGCCTAGAAAAAGTATTTGATACAGAATAACATAAAGCATTTCTACTTTATTGAAATCTATGGCTATTCTTCTAATTTTAAAAAGAGACCATTCACAAAATACATGTTTGACAGACATGCAAAGAATATGTTTATAGACTATAACTTAGCTATATAGAATGAAATAGGTAGCATGGCCTGTGATCATTCTTGTTATAAAAAATCCTATTCTACTAATGAATATTTGCTGCCAGCCTATCAGTGTTCACTTGTTCCACATGTTTACACTTTTTCATGTTTTGAAAAGATGCTCAATGAATCAAAACTGCTATAATTCATTTACCTTTAATTCACTCTTTCTGCAAGGACAGATCTTTCTGCTAACCTCACTAGTGATTCTTCGGGAATCCGTATGAGAAAGAATTTCATAGTACACATTTTATATATTTAGTTCATCTGACATAGCTGATACTTCATATCTAGTAAAATTTCAGATGGGGAGAGAGGGATGTATGTACAATGTAAAGTGACACTGAATGCCTCAAAGCACTACGATTTCTACAAAATAAGCTCACAAAAAGCAGCAATTGAGCAATTTTTCCAAATAAAACAGATATAAAAATGCTCTCATTTAAAATAACAGAAATCACATTACCTTAGTATTTTGCAGCCGAGCAAGACTTGTGCAGGCATTCGCTAGAAGAAAATCACCACTCAGGACAGCCATTTTATTTCCAAATTGCATATCTTTCAATGCTCCGTCTGAGGATGTCAGTTCACTAATGTTTACTATTCCACGATGCACAAGGAAAGCTGTGTGGATCAACTCTGTGATCTCTGCAAGAGTTCGTTGGCTTTAAAGTAAAGATCAGACGTAATACAATTAGTTGCAGAACCATTGCATGAGTCACATATATTATTATTTTTAAAAAACAACAATTTTGAACACAACTGGGTATTTTATCAGTGCAAATATAACATTCACTCTATTTGGACCTATTAGGCCAATGATCAATTTTGATTACAATTTCTATCTGAAGCAGAATCTTTATTTCTTGGAAAACTTGAAAGAGTTTAAAATGTAAAATCCTTCCTCCGTTCTTGAAATGTGGGTTGACCATTTTAATGCATCAATAATTATTTAACAAAAAAAAAAAGTGAAGGATATAAATTGACCAAAATAGTCTTAGGGGCGTATCATCATTTTGTATCCTATTTCAGCAGCAGTAGTATTGATTCAATAGCTAGGCTAGCATTGCCATATATCACATTATGGAGGTATACATGGTGGCATGGGACACAAACATTCTAATCATTGTCAAACTTTGCTGTCTTCCAGAATGAAATAGAAATATAACCCATTTATATTCTAGAACAGAAAACTGCATTCTGCTCTAATCCAAGGTTTAAGGAAGGGTTAATATATTCTACTGTTGATGTGAATGAGAGGGAAAAGACAGAGACTAATAAGGCTCCTGCTGTCATTGTCAGGGCAGTCCTCCCAGGAAAATGTCCATATCAATTCAACTTATCAGATGGACAGCTGATCAACATTAAACAGATTTGCTCTGGGCAGATTGAGCTGAATACCTGCCATGAATCACAATGAGAGCCCTCCGGTCTCAGCAACTGAGATCTGCCATTTCTGACTTCGGAAGATCCAAGGGCATATGGAGATCTCTAGTGATGAGGACATAAAGCTGCAGCTTCCTCAACAGATAGCTTGTTTTTTCCCAAAGGTACATATTAATATCCTGAGGAGAACAGGCTCTTTTTTTTTATCTGAAACACCACCCTTCATTATCCAACCCAAATTACTACTGTTCTCCCCCCCCCCCCATTAAGCTTTTAATGAAGACATTTTTTTCATTGTTCAGCTCATCATACAAAACTTCAACAATATATAAATGTCATATTTTCTAACTCTCCCTTTCTATTTTACCCTTCCTTTCCGTTTATTCTCCAAATAGCATCTATAACATTTAGCTAGCCACATTAGAATTCAGGTTCCTTTATTTTTAATTGAAATAGCATAGAATTCTGGTACAGTGAGAAATTATTAAATAGCCCTGGGCAATTTCCAAGGATTTGAACATCTCCTAGTGAACATCAGATTTTTTTCCCAGCAGTTCAATTCAGATTAATGTTTAAAGGAAAACATTTCCATATAAATTCTGGAGCATTTAATGCATCCACCTCCAAATTAATTATAAAACAATGACTTTTAAAATCACCAATGTAAAGTACGGTACAAAACATGTAGACTGAGAAGGAATTTTATTTATTTAATCAAGGAAGGCTAAGAGTACAGTATTTATAGAGCTTTTAAATGCATAATTTGCAAGCCAATTCTATGGAACATGTGTAGAAAAATAACTGTAAGCAACTCCTCTTTCTCAGTCACACTGCCCAGTAATTGGAGAGCTGAAGGCTAAAACACCCAATACAAGACACAATTATTTCACATGTGTCATGACATCATTGCGCAAATGATGTAAATTAGATATTATTTGCATTGTGTCATAAGAGACATGATGGCTCTTTTCCCTTTATCCCATCCACAAATACCCATGGTTGAAGGCAATATGTTCTAGCCTACCTTGAAGGGTAGAAATCGAAAGACACACATTCTCTCTCTCTCCCGCTCCCTCTCCCCCCCCTCACAGAGAGGGAGGGACGGGGAGAGGGAGAGAGAGAAAATGCTCATTGGAAAGGCATAATAGCAAAGGGGAAGTCCAAGAAAAGCTGTAGGATGTTATGTGGAATTGACTCTTTTCTTCTACCTTCTATTTATTTATTATTTATTAAACAAATTTATATAGCTGCCCAACTTACACATAGGTAACTCTGGGCAGAGTTTCTACAATTCTACAATATCTTCCAAGTTTACAACTCTGGACATTGGTTGTAAAAGAGAAGAAAAAATAGGTTATAAGAAAACCAGGAATAAAATGTTTAATCCAAGACAAGCTTTGCTGAGTTCATTAAGGCATTCATAATTAATACACAAACATAATATTGCAATCTTATCAAATTATTTCCTCACAAATAAATAATGAAGATAACCACAAAGAAAATATTGTAGATTGAAGTTAACTCATGGCACTAAAAAGTAACATTAATAAATATTGCCTAAACCAAGAGTGGTCAAGAATGGCCATCTGACTTGACAAAGTGGCGACTATCACCCTTTCTTTCAGTATCAGTATTCAATCCTGAAACATATTTAAAGGAAGAAAAGTGAGAGAGAGCAGTGGTTCCTTTCTTCGCCGCTAAACAGTCAAGATACTGTTCGTACATTTTTAGAACAAAGCTACTAATTCAGTTACTCTTATAACAGCCTTTTGCCTCTTGCACCGATTTCATTTCAAAATTAATAACTCTGTCAAATATTTTCACTCTATTCCAATGTAGAATAAACAGTTCCGTACTGATACCCATCAAATCATTCCTAAACATTATTTCCACAGGCAACAAACAGCATTTGCCTGGTATCCTGCTATACAATAAATGTGATTTAATATTTGTAAACAGAGAGTCCAAAAAATTGTATGTTGAAGAAACATGGCAAGAAAATTTAAACACAAATGAAGTCATAGCTAATTCTCAAATTTAAAACTATTGGCCATGACAAAAAAAAGTAAAATCAAGTGTGACTCATTTAACAACCACTTTTTGCTTAGCAATGGAAATTCTGGTCTCCACTGGGATTGTAAGTGGAGGACTACCTATATATAAAATCAAATAATGTAGTTCTTAGTGGAAGTAATATATCATGATAAAAAGGAGAGCAATAACTCATTTAGGCAAAATGTTTACAATTCCTCTGTTTATTAAAAAGTTTTCAAGCTAAAGCCTGATGTTACTGGAAATTACATGAAAATAATTCATACTTATTAAAATTTATGTCCACTTAATCATTGTTATGACCTTGCTGAGTTTGTGTGCGTGGAGAGTGGAAGCCAGTTACGGACCTGGCCGAACATAAGGCATCGCGACCCTAGGTGAGGTAAGACCAGTGGAGGAGCCTGGAAGAGCCAGCAACCCAAGTGCTGCTAGCTAGTTCGCCTCCCCCGCCTCCTTCAGTGCACTAAGGATAGGCACACATGTGCTGAACAAAATGAATTAGCAATCTAGGCTGTCAGCACTACATTGTGTCTGGCATGTGTAGATTTCACTGACACGTATGCCACCCGCTAAACAAATAAAAAATTGTAATGACCAGAAGCATATATAGTAATCCAAGTGGAGTTTCACTACCGATTGCAAACATGGACGTTTTCTGTCCTTTGCTTTCTATGACATGCTTAGTGGAGATTCCTTGCCATCCATATTCAGATGCAATTAGTTATTGAATTAACTTTTCAAAAGGCAAACAGCTGAACTGGGGCATTTGTATCAAAGCCGGGGTTTTTATTATTAATACTGTAAAGGAAACTGCTGGATATTTTACTATATTTAATGTATGCCTGCTATTAGATAATTTAATTTAACAAAGAAAGTTAGTAATAGAAAAGCTGGACTAAGTTAACCAGAAACTCTTCAACCTTTTTGCAAACAAAATTCTACTGAGTGGATTTCCATTTTGTGCAAAAGATTATTGATTCCTTCTTTCTGCTGGCAAACTTCCACACCTGGTTCAGAAAATACTACAAAGGATGGTCAGAGTTGCTATCTTAATCATGTCTGCTGCACTGGCAGATAGCCACACTTATATATCCTTATGAAAAATAACATATGAAAGTAAAACAAATGTATGAAAAAACCAGAGATTGTGGGCCTGGGATAATGATAGACATGAGACTGTCTGACGGAGAAAACAAGGCTCTAGTACTAAATGCAGCCACTTGCAAACAGATGGCTACAAGGAAAGCGGGGAAAACCCTAATCCAGTCAAGGTAATGCAGCAGATGGTTGGCAGAGATTCCTCTAAATACTATCAGCATTACCTGTTTGGGCTAGATTTATTCCCAGCACATACTCCCAAAATACAACCCTCATTTTCAGAACTAACAGATCAGACCATCTGTTCTTGAAGAAAGATGGTGAGGAATTGCGCGGGTGGATCCCCATAGGTGGTTCTTAGTTGTGTAGGTGGCTTTTATCTGCATATATGGATACTGATGGAATCTGATGTAGACCTTCATTCTACTTCTCATGATGAGTAGCAAGACTGACCATCTGTAAATCTCTTGTTACATTTTCCAAGTCCTTTACACAAGTCCTAACCAGGCAAGTCACATTTATTAAAAAACAGCATGTCAAATAGTTCACAATTATAGACTACATCAATACATATTATGCCAGATGGTAATGAGCCGTCTACAAGGACCTATCCATCCAAAATAATCATACAGATTTCTACAGCATTGTTCAAGAGGTTATGGTTTATTACACAGTACTCATTAGACATACACTGCCACCATTAGCAATTTTCTTCATTTGTATCTCATTTAAGATTCTACTTTCACAAGCAAATTCAAATTAGTACACAAGGTTAAAACCATTATGATCAGGAATAAAATTATCCTGTCTTTTTATGATATGGCAACAGTGGATCAAAGCTCTCTAGTCTAGCAAATTTTAAAGAACTAGTCAACTGAGTTTTAAGTACAACAATAGAAATATACTGACCACATATTGTGTCAGATAACTTAAAAATCAGTTAATAGTCAGATTGTTCTAAATAAACATATTTTAAACTAGGAAAAACTCAAAAAAGTCATGTTTATTTTTTGTTAAGTGTTATTGTTTGAATACATTCACAGAAAAATAAACAGTAAAAATTAGTGCAGCTAAGACAGTATCCTATCTTTATTGGTAGAAGGAGATGATTGAATAGTATATACCTGTT